GATCGCAACCCTTGGTGTGGTGTCGCCCACACCACGCTCAGCCAGTGAGCGCACCGGTCATTCCTATATAGGATCCGAACCCGCGGTGGAAGCGCTGCTGCGCTCCCAGCGCCGCACTCTCCCGATTGCGCCACAGCGATTGCGCCACAGCGGGCAATTTCAAAGCATCTCTGGTGGGCGGAGCCCGTGGCGCACTTGGGAGAGTGCGGCTCTGGGAGCTCAGCAGCGCTCCCGCCGCGGGTTCGGATCCTATATAGGGATGACTGGTGCACTCACAGTGCTCACTGGCTGAGTGCGTGCAGCCGGTCTCAAAAAGGACCAAAAAAAAAGCATCTCTGGGAAAGTAAGGAGCAGGGCTTAAAGTGACCGTCACACCCCAATTCAGATCCATGAAGAGTGTGCGTATCCATGAATGAACATCATGAACCCTTTTGTGCATGTCAACTCATTTATATACAACCCCAGCAACATTTGCACATGGAGGTACATAAAAGATACCTTTGTTGTTCACTTTATGTGCATTCTCATCTGTAAGAGGCATCTTCCATGAATTTCTTTCCCTTAACAGAGATGTAGCTTCTTAATACAAAAACCTCTAATTATATTTCTAAAAGGCAGGTAATCCTAATACAGCAGATGATAGGGAGAAATAAGAAATTTGTTTTATAAATGAATATTATTTTATTATTGTAAAGCCAATTTATAAGTAATATAAATTAATATGAAATAATATAAAAATAAATGAAATATAGCCATGCATCACAATGACAGGGATGCTTTCTGAGAAATGCATCATTAGGTGATTTTGTCATCATGCAAACATTGTATGTAGAATTCACTTACACACCTAGATGGCATAGCCTACTACACACCTAGGCTATATGGTACAGCTACTGTCGTATGTGGCCCGTTGTTGACTGAAACGTTGTTATAAAGAGCGTGACTGTAATAGTAAATTATAGTGTTTCATTTTATTCAGTAAATAATGAATAATAAAGCTTCATTATTTACTGAATATAATGAAACTCTTTGGAGTCAGAAGACAGGATTTGAGTCACTGGCCATGGAACCTTAGATGAGACACTTCACCTCTCTGAGGCTTGGTTGTTTTCCTCTTTAGAAATGTGGATAATCCTACCATCCTGCTAATCTCACAGGGAGATGAATGAGGTCACACATTTGAAGAGTTTAATAAATTACAAGGCACGATCTGCATTTGATTAACATAAGGGGACTGGTAAGCGTGGAATGTAGAGACCTGCGAGGGTGTGTGTGGGAATGAGGGGGTAGCAGGTGGAAGATCCAGGCTCCTGAAGATAGAACGCTGGTGCCTATTGATCTGGGTAAAGGAAGGCAATTGACTAGTCCTCTTGGTGTTTTAAATAGGAAAAATCTGAATATTGGTTCTTCGTAATTTTTATGCTACTGCGATTAACAGAATTAGATCAGAAGAAGATTAAAGTGGAAGAAAAGGTATGTGATCCTGTCATTTCATGTGTTTATGGTTAACATGCTCCAAAGCTTATGCTGCCTGCTGCAGAACCAATACGATCAATAAATGAGAAACGTAAGAATATATAAATGAATTCTTTATTTAGGACATGTGTCCATGTCCTAGGGTCTGTCAGTTTAATCCTCTGCAAAGCTGAGCATCGACACAAATGCCGTGAAAGGCCTGCTGCTGGCACAGTGAAAAGCTTAGCAATGGGGGACAGAAGCACTGTCCACTTACCTAGGCTGGCAGTGTTAATGCAGACCGTCATTTCGGTTAACTGTCATTTGGAGGGTATATGATTCTGTGTTACTTTAAAAATTCATTTAACACTGATTATAATGTCCTTCTCCACATAATGAAATGGTACTCAAATAAATCACTATTCTGATATTGTTAATTCTTAATTCTTTTTAAAATCATGATTCATCTGATCACACGATTTCAGAGTAACCAGACCTTGAATGCTGGCACCTGCTTTGTCTTGCTTTAGTGGCTGGTGACAGCTGAAATCTCTTACACTGAATGCAAATTTGAGATGGGAATGAAAACAGGTATAAATACGTAGAGAAGTACATATTCCATCTCATAAATGCCTTTCTGAAATCTCTGTTAAAAATAGTTACAGATGCTAGCCTGTTATTATTCTCATACTCAAAGGTTCTTATTAGACTTCTCTTTCCCTTTAATGTTTTGCAAAGGGAGTAAATTTTAAAACCACATGTTAAGTAAAGGTAGATGAGGATAATGGATTGAGAGGGATGGCAAAGACCATGGGCTAGAGCACTGTGCATTAGGAAGGAAAGGCCTATATCCTTGAATGAAGAAGGTTATGCTAAGAGGAGGAAGTTTTGGTAGAATTTGAGATGATGGGAATAGTTTTAAGGAGCTGCCATGAGAAAAAAATTCCCCAATATCAACTACCTGGAGTTTACAGCTTTAAATTTTATTCCTTCTCATACTTAAAGTTGGAATGTTCACTATATTAAAAGTATTCATGGACTTTTTGTTTTTTTGCCTTTTCCCCTTGCAAACCAGGGAGTATGAGGATGGAGGGGATCAAAGAACTCCACTCCATATTTTAAAATAATTGTCATTATTTAGGTTTTAGGAAAGTTGGACTACACATGAAGACTGAATGCAAAGGTTCATGAGCATGGGTTAAATTATTTTGTATACCTGATTGCATGTCTAGATTATTTTATTAAAGAAAATCTAAGCCTTATCTTTTTTTTTAGAAACAAAATTTTTTTTTCTTTTACATTTCTAATTCTGGAAAAGGTGGAGGCAGTGAATAAATATGACCCCCCTCCTGAAGTGGTTGCGGCTCAAGATCACCTGACTCATGTTTGCAATAGCGTGATGCAGCCGCAGCGGATCTTTGACAGGTATTTATCAGGAATCGGTAGGGTAGAACTCAGGCTGGGCAAGCAAAATGCAGCCTCTTCATTTTCCCCAGCCTGTTTTGTGACCTGTTCATTTCCTACAGATGCCGCTTTCTTGCCTTCTCTGAGAGAAGGGGTCATAGTCTTTATCTGCTAGACTGTGTTGTCTCGGTTACAGTGTCGTCTCACCCACTTGAATGTGTTGCTCACTCTTCGGCATTTTCCCAAGCATAGTGATGAGCTGATTCATCTTCTCTGTCATCTGGCCACTTGTGTGGTAGCTAGCCTGTGCCATGCAACAGTGAAAGCTAATAATAATAATAATAATAATTTTCTCAACTCTTCTGCCTTAGGGTAGAAACACAGACCTTAACCTCTGTATTAATCCATATCTGTTTGCTTATAAAATAAATACCTGAAACTGGGTAATTTATAAAAAGTAGAATTTTTTCTTACAGTTTTGGGAGCCAGGATGTCCAAAGTCCAGGGAACACATCTGGTGAGGGCCTTGTTGGTGGGTGGTGACTCTTCACAGTGACGTAGTGTGTCATGTGGCAAAATGGCTTAAGTGAGAGAGAACTAAGCTTGTCAATTACTCTCCTTCTAAAGCCATTAGAACCACACCTATCACTCCGTGAATGGATCTATCTATTCCCGAGGGTACAGTCCTCATAATCTAATCTAATCACATCTTCAAGGACCCACTTTTCAATTACCATAGTAGGATTTTCTGCTCAACATCAACACAGTGGGGATTAAGTTTCTGATACATGGAACTTTGGGGAACACATTGAACTCGTATCAATCTCATTAACAGAAAATTAAATTGTGATCATTTACAGCCATTGCAAATTTTTCTTAGCTGTGAGTGAATGCTAAATACCCCTGCCAAAGAGCATTCCATGAATACAGATTATTAGGATTAAGGAGTCCCTAGCAGAAAGCCCAGCTGACCTAAGGAAAATCTGAAACAGTCTTTGCACTGAGCTGCAATCAGCCCAACAGGGAAGAGTTACCTGGCTTGGCTGAACATGTGAATAGAGTCTCTCGCCTCTAAATTCGAAGACAGATTTACCACGGTTTCTCCATTTCTTTTTAAACAATCTGTTGGAGCAGATGGCCACTTATGCTATAAGTATAATGCAGAAATTCTATCAATACCCAAAGGCGTTTTAAAAATGCTTGTAAAATCTCTTGGATATAAATGGCTTCTCTTCTTCATGTGATATTTGCTTCTGTACTTCACATGGTTGGTTTCCCACAGAGAGCAAAATGTTTTATTTTGCAACCCATGACATGATTTTTACATATAATTTAATAATGTAGACGTTGCTTCCTTCCTTCCTTCCTTCCTTCCTTCCTTCCTTCCTTCCTTCCTTCCTTCCATCCATCCATCCACCCACTATCCTGTCTATCTGTACCTACTTATGTACATCTATTCAATCTATCTATACCTATTTCTCTTATCTATATCTAGATAGATCTCCATATACCTATAGATAGAAGGATTAAGTACCTCTTGAATTCATATTGATATTGATGATTCAATTTCAAGACTACAGTCAAGCTTTTATTTAATTTCCCCTCTATTATATCTGTATTTCCTTTTCTCCCACATCAAGAATCCTGGTTCTTAAGGATACAGAGGAAAATGGAATTATGAAATCCCATAATTTCTCATTTTTTAATCCCATATTACAGTGCAACAGTGTCAGAATACCTGTACTAATACCACCACCAACATGATCACTGAAAACATTAAAGTGTGTTTTGCCTACGTTCTATCCATCTCCTCTTTTTTTTATTGTGGTAAAATATATATAATATAAAATTTGCCACTTTAACCATTTTTAAGTGTACAGTTCAGTGGCGTTAAGTACATTCACGCTGTTGTTCAACCACCACCACCATCCATTTCTCAAACATTTACATCATCCCAGACAGAAGCTCTGTATCCATTAAGCCATAACTTCCTTTCTCCCCTGCTCCCAGCCCCTGATAACTTCTAATTCACTTCCTGTCTCTAGGAGTTTGCCTCTTCTATATATTTCATACAAGTATCAACCACCCCATTTAAAAATAGTATTGTGCTATATTTATATTGTCAGAACATAAACCCAGCACATACTATACTTTCTCCTTCTTTGCTCTCATTTAAGCTAAGTTCTGTGAGTAATTACATAGTTATTTCTCACTACCAGTCCTTATACTGATGTCTTTTGAGTTATTTTGGTTGTATGAAGCTTTTTTTCTAGTAGATTCCTTAGGAAGGGTTATGGGATCAGCATCCCTTACATTCTTAAATTTAAAATTTAAAATTTTAAATTTTAAAAATTTTAAATTCAAAATTAAATTCTTAAATTTAAAATTCAGAATTAAAAATTAAATTCTTAAATCCTTAAATTCTTGCATGTTGACAATAATTTGTACACTTTATACTTGAAAGTCATTTTCGCTCAGTATAAAATTCATGGCTCACATTTTTTTCCTTGAATATAGTAGAGGTGTGTTACTCCATTTTCTTTTGGTATAAAACATTGTTGTCAAAATCTGGTGAAAATTTAATTTTCTTTCCCTTATAAGTCATGTGCTTTCTTTTTCTAGTTGAACAGATTCTTTAAAAAATTTATTTTTTTTCAATCTACATGTTCATAAAACAGATTTTTTTTTTCTTTTTCTTCAAAGTCCAGTAGTTTTACTAGACCATGTCTTGGTGCTTGTCACTCTGGGACGATATTTCAGGTATAAATGTGTGCCCTTTTAATGTGTAGGATTTTTTTTTTAATTTCATAAAAGTTTTCTTGAGTTACAGTCTTTAATATTTTTCTGTTCCTTTTGGTTTTCTTCTTCAGTAAGATCTCCTTTGCCTGTTTCAATGTTTGTCACTTTCTCTGAAATCTTTTTTTCCCTTTAGTTATTTTTTTAAAAACTTATTTTGAGATAATTGTAGATGCAGGTGTAAGAAATAAAACACAGAAATTCCATATACCTTTAACCCAGTTTTCCCCAAAGGTGGTATCTTGCATAACTATGGAAGAATATCAAAACCAGGAAATTGACCAGAAAATTCACTGACCTTATAAGATTTCACCAGTTTTGCATGTGCTCTTGTGTGTCTTTAGTTCTGTTTCCTTCTATGCAGTTTTATCACATGTGTAGGTTCATCTGAGCACCACTATACTCAAGATACAGAGCAGTTTCATCCTCAGGATCCTTTGTGATTCCTTTTAGTAGCCACAGTGCCTCCCTCCCTCTCATCTTCCCTAAGCCCTGCAATCCACTTATCTGTCCCCATCTCTATAATGTTATCATTTAAAGAATGTTATGTAAATGAAATCATACAGTGTATAACCTTTTGGGATTGATTGGCTTCTTTCCACCACCACCCCCACCCCCGTCAGCATAATTTCCTGGAAATTCGTCCAAGTTGTTGCATGTATCAACAGTTCATTCATTTTTATTGCTGAGCAGTATTCCTTGGTATGGATGTATCACGATTAGTTTAACCATTCACCTGTTGAAGGACATCTGGGCTGATTCCAGTGTTTGGCTACTACAAATAAAGCTGCTACGAACATGCACGTACTGTTTTTTGTGTGTGTGCAAAGTATATATACCTTATGTGTATCTTACGTTTCAGCCTGCTTGCTTCCAGCAGGGACTCAGTGGCTGTTTGGGGGTTCCCTTGTTCTCAGATCAGTCAGATGCTGCCCATTGCTTCTTTCTTCTTCCTGCAGACTCTAGTGCCATGCAGCTTCTGTGGGTTTGTGGTTTGTAGTGATACCTTTTTTAGCTGGTTTTGTTATATGTGTTTTTCATGGGCTTTTGCTCTCAAGTTTTTCTATTTTTTTTGTGGGTATTCAGAGAGATTAAAAAGCTATGCTGTTTCATCGTTTTCACAGAATGTTCACAGAATCCACATCTCAGCCATGTTTTTTAAAAAATATGTTTTATTCTGTATCTCTATACTTTGTGTCATGAGTGGAGTCCAAACACATTAGCTCAGCATGTTACAGGACATTTTATTAATAAACTCATTCTTTAGTCCAGCCTTCAGGCTTGGAAGCCAAGTCTAGAATCATGTATCAGCTCTTCCTTATTAGCTACTGCTTTGAGTAAGTTAATTAACTTCTCTGTACTTAAATATCTTCATGTGTTAAATGGGGATAATAATAGAAACATCTTCATTAGTTTCTTATGATAATTAAATGAGGTAATACATGTGAAACTTCTAGAATAGTGCCTGGCACATAGTAATTGCTCAGGTAAATTTTAGTTCTTACTGTTAAGTTTGCTTTGCATATCTGTGTTCTAATTCAATAGATATGGATGTTAAACTTCAACTCTCAGACAGAAGTCTTATTTCCTTCATTGATAAGTTCTAGGGGGAGTACTTTAACATTCAAGAACTAATGTATCTTACCATATTTTTCCTTTAAAAAATCTTGTTAAGGGCCGGCCTGGTGGCGCACTGCTACAGTGCGCTGCTTGGGAGTGCGGCGGCGCTCCCGCCGAGGGTTCGGATCCCACATACAGACCGGTTCCCGCTTACTGGCTGAGCAAGGTGCGGGCGCAGCACCGAGGGTTGCGATCCCGTTGCCGGTCCCGGTCCGGTACGGGCACGACACTGAGGGTTGCGATCCGTTGCCGGACACGAAAAAAGACAAAAAGGAAAAAAAAAAAATCTTGTTAAACTTACATAAATTTGTATTTTATATGATTTTATATATGCTTTGAATATTATTTTTGGCATATTATAATGAACTCTTTTCTGGAAAGTAGGGCTACCCTTCTATACAGTGTCTACATGTAGCAAGTGCTCATTTAGCTGAGTTAATTATGATTGTAACACAGAAACATTACCTAACGGGTGGTAATAATTGACTCTGATCCTGTGTTGCAGCACTCTTCCCAGTCTGGATGCCCCTTATCCTATGTTGATATTAGCTGGTCCTCAAGCTTGTGGTAAACGAGAACTTGCCCACCGCCTCTGCAGACAGTTTAGTACTTACTTCAGATACGGGTAAGTTTATTTGTTGGCTTGTGTGACAGAAGTAAGCTTTTGTTTATTGGTTTATTGGCTTGTTAGAAGTTTGTTTATCCAAGTTGCATGTATCAATAGTTCTTTCCTAGTAAAATCTCAGATATTGATAATTTGGGCTATTAATTTTAAGCAAGTTCAAAAATGTACAAAACAACTTAATGTATAAGTTACGTTTTACAGCAGAGCTCGAAGTGGTAAGTAAATTGAATGTTCAGTAGATATGAACTTTTGGTAAGGACAGAGCACTGTGAGAGTGTTGGTCCTTGAAGGTAAATTATTGATAAAATAGGACCACTGTGATTACCTGCTCCTGAAGTCTTGATTTATGTGGCATTCTAATCAATGTGGTAGAGATGATTGCTAAAGTGTACTCCTAGTAATAGAAGACCTTAACAAATGACAAGAAGAAACAAAATATTTTGTCTTCCTTGAAACAGACAGTAAACACATAGCAGTGACCCCCTCCCCAAACAAACAAACATGGCTCATTCATGCCATTTTCATGCATTTTTTCCATAAAAGGCTTATTAGCTTCTTTGCCATTTATTATTCTGTGATATACACTGTTTTTTTAAAACTTGAATCCTCCAAATGTTTAATGTAATTCAGCACCAGCCAAATCACTCTCCAGGGTTTGAGAATACACGTCTTCTTAATCAAGCATACTCGTATTTGAACGCAGGCCCCTCCTGCCGCTGTTCAGCATGACAGCAGGGATCGATGCGTGAGGGGCTGCACTGCGCTCTGGTGGCAGCCTCTCCTGTGTCTTCCTGGAACACACACCGATGGCACTTGTGCTTTTTTTTCAAAGTCAGGTCTTCCTCTTTAGAGGCATATTTCAGGAGGATGGAAAGAGTAGGAACAGCAAAATCTTTTCCTTTCCTGTCCTTCAGGTTAGCATTCAATGCCCTTAAAGTTTTCCAGAGCAGATGTTTTGACGAGCCATTCCCTAATGACCCAGTTAAAATAGAGGAAAGTATCTGAAAAACTAGACCCATCCCCAGAAAACCTCCAGCTGCATTTACAGATTTTTTTAGAGGTTTCTGGAAATCAGATTTAGAATTGTCATTGTGGTCTCTTAGGCTGACTTACTCTTTTATTTTTTATGTATGGCAAAGAAATTACTTTTAGATTAGTGGTGTCTGTGAGCTGAGGAGGTGACTACAGGGATATACAGGACAGTGAGAAAACTAAGTGCAAATTATTTTCTAATGCTGTAACAAAAAACATATCTTCCCTTAAGCCACATTCATTCAAACAATGTAAATACTATTTTAAACAGGTCCATTTATTTAGATATTTAAAAGTACATCCTTTATTTGAACAACTCTAGGACACATACTATAGATTTATTGATTAATATATTTTAAACACCCTGAAGTAACAAAAATAAAAGTTAATATTAGAATAAAAAAGTAGAGAGTACCATTGTGTTCATATGGGGGTACTGAACCTTTTTTAAAAGATCAGCCGAACACAGTGAATGGAAGGTCAAACTAGGGCAAGAGCGTATATGCTGACTATTCTGCTACGTATAAATTTGGAACCTTTTAGCAAACCAAAGTGACCTGCAGGAACCAAGGCTTTCTCTGGTTCCTTTCACATCTCTGATGTCAATTATGATGCAAATTGTTGGTAGGCCAGTCCTTTTTATTCGTTTGTGATATGCTACTGCCAAAGCATGCTTGGTCCATGTGTTGTTTCAGGTGTTTATTGGCTCATCATAAAGATTCTGATCCGTATGATGCAAATTGTTGGTAGGCCAGTCCTTTTTATTCGTTTGTGATATGCTACTGCCAAAGTATGCTTGGTCCATGTGTTGTTTCAGGTGTTTATTGGCTCATCATAAAGATTCTGATCCAGAGTTTTACTTTACTGTTTGTTCTTGGTTTTAGAAAATAGGTTGGATGTTCTTTCTTTACCTGTGTTAGTTATGAGTGACCTGGAGATACACATTTACTGCCTTTAAAATCTCTCTATTTATTTCCAGCGTGATGTTATTGCACAAATTGGTGACTTCCTGGAAAAGTGCTGGATAATGAGGGTAACACAAAACAATACCAGCATGCCTATTTATCTTCCAGATTTAAGGCCATGAAATTGATCTGAATGGTCCTGAAAGAAAAACTTTATTCTTCCTTAGATCTTTATTTTATAGCAATCTCTATTTTCATAACCTTCTCATGATGTTGACTACTAAAATATAATTTATTGTTAGCATTATAAAACAGTAAAGTAAAAGACTACAGCTGTTTAGCTACATGAAATGATATAAGCTACAGCAACCTAAGTGCAGTCTAATCTAAGTGTCTGTTTATACACATGTGACGAATTTGTAGAAAGTTTCATTCATTCATTCAATCAATATTTATTGAGCATTGTCCATGTGTCATGTGCTGGTGATAAAACTGTGAGAAGAAAACCTGGGTCTTGTCCTCCTGGCAGCTTGCAATCTAGTAGGGGATTTATACAACTAAATGCTATCTAACAAGATAGTTAGATACGTGCTGTGATGAGGGAAGTAAAGAAATAAAAGAGAAGTGGGATGTGGGGCTTGAGTGGGTAGTGCATTCTAGGCACAGAGAACAACAGGCACATTTCATTTACTGAAAAAGCGTACATCGTAGTATGGTTGAACTTGAAGTATTAAGGGAGATGACAGAAGATAAGAGTGGAAAGATAAGGGTTTGATCAAAAAGGGTTTCTAAGTAGGAGAAACCTTGTCAGCAGTCTGGGAAAGCTTGGGAAGGAAGGCTAGAGACAAGGAGAATACAGAATATAGTGGCTGGTGATGATGATGTGAGTTAATAAGTGGTGTGTAGTTACTGGTTAGTGGACAGAGTGGTGGCTTGATGGAATTTGATACTCAGACACAGTATTGTTAGAATCTTTTGTATTCATGCTTCCTTAAGTTGTGTCCAGCAAGTTATTGACATATATTTGCACTGGGTGTTAAGACCAATTTAACTTACCTACCAAATTCTCCAGGAATACCTGGGCTTTTGTGGCTACCCATTGAAAGAACTCACTGATTAATAATATGGCGTGCTGTAATGTGCTTGAATCAGATGTGCTCACAGCCAAGCCTCTGCCTAAATATTTGTAGTAACAAGAAGTTCATGATTTCCTGAGGCAATCTGGTCCAGAATTGAGATTCTAAATCTGCATGCTTCCGAATCACACTGAAAAATCTCTACATCCTCAACCACCTGCTAGCTCTTCTTAGATGTCTTTTCTTCCTATTACATATCTCTGGATGTTTTAGTATTCCATTAGTTGGTCTGGACTTCCATATTCCTTTCCCTCCTGGTCCTCTCCTTTCCATGGACTTGCTTTGTTGGTAGCCTCGATGACAGTTGGCTGACAGATTGGCCTTTACAATGTCCAAGTTTACCCTTAGATTTTTAGGACCAGAGTTACAGGCTGGGTTTAATCTCCAATTCAGTCCTTTCGTCTGTTAAGTGAAACTAACAAGGAGTATAGCTCCCATTACAAACCATAATTTAACTACCATGATTTAACTAGTAAATTAATTAATAAGTAATAAACTCTCGGAAATATTTAGACAGGGGAGAGGAAGGCCATTGATAGCTCAAGAAAATCTGTTTGTCTAAAATTAGCATCATTTTTTCTAAGCAAGTTTAGTGAAAGGTTGCTTTCATTATGAAGTATTTCCTATTTAAGATGTACATATTTGGGTGGCATACCATACTGCAAACGTTTCTATATGTGAAAACTGGACGACAGGTTTGAAGCACTGCAGGCCATGTTAGGTCCTTGTTAATAGAAAGTTCCGCAGTGGTCGCAGATTCTGTCATCAGCATTCTCCACATCAGTGAGGCCAGCTCTTCACTTTCCTGCCTAAAAGCTTCAAATTGCTTCTTTGTTGTGTCCTCCTTTTAGAAATTATGAGAAAATTCCTGCCGCTCAATCCCTTTGTTGGGAAATGTAAATTCAGACAGTGGGCGAAGGCTGTGCTGAGGGTTCGATGGATCTTCCCTAACTGTCAAGGGCACCAGTGGACAGATGACCTCAGGTCTCTGCTGAGGCATGTGAAGAAACGCCAGTGTGTTCAAACAGTGAAACCCAGGTTACGGTGTTCTGCCAGTCTTCTCTTACAATGTACTCACTTTCCTGAGTGTACAATTTAAATGTATGTAACATTACGACCTTAAAATCTACTAGTACAGTTAATTCTTGATTATAATGGAAGGGGAACAGTGGTTTGAACTATAAAAATCTATTTGTGTTTGACTTTGTCATGGAGAGGCTTTTGAGGTTGCAACTTTACCTCTTAATTAGCGTGATATTAAAAAGAATCGACTTTGGAGTCATCCTGGTTGTGTTAGTCCGTTTTGTGTTGCTATAACAGAGTACCTGAGACTGGGTGATTTATAAAGAACAGAGGTTTATTTGGCTGATGATTCTGGAACAGCTGCATCTGGCACGGGCCTTAGGCTGCTTCTACTTGTGGCAGAAAGTGGCAGCAACCAGTGGGTACCAGCAGATCACATGGTGAGAGGAAGCAAGAGAGAGAAAGCAAGAGAGAGAGAGAAGGTGCCAGGGTCTTTTTAAGCAATGAGCTCTCGCGGGAACTGATTGAGCAAGAACTTACTCATTACTCCCCCCTCCCCCAGGGAGAGCATTAATGCATTCCTGAGGGATCCGCCCCCATGACTCAATCAGTTTCCAACAGCCACCCTGGGGATCAGATTTCCACGTGAGTTTTGGCGGGGACAACACATCCAAACTCTATCACTGGTGTTGCTACTTAATCGCTTAGTAAGGTTACTTCATCGCTGTGCCTCAGTTTCATCATCTGTAAAATAAGAATAAGAAAGAACATCTACCTTGTGGTTTTTGTGAGAAATAAACAAAATAATAGGTCAAGTGTCTAGCTGTTCTCATCTCCCATTTTAAAATTATAGAATAGTCTGAAAATCAGTTTGCATTTCCAGAACTTAATGTTGTGAGGGCAGAATGACATGAAATCAAGAGTCCTGGGTAGATGGGACCCATAGATTGTAGTCCCAGGACTGACACCAGCCTGCTGTGTGACCTTGGACAAGTCACTCTTATCGCCATCTATAAAATGGAGTTCTGTTATCCACTTCACATGTTTCAATTTTTTCATCCGTTTTGCAAATACGTAGTGATTGCTCGCCATGTGCCAGGCATTGGGAATGCAGTGGCGAGCAAGATGAATGAGACAAAGTCCTCCCCTGGGGCCTCATGCTCCTGTGATCAGCTAAGGAAGATAGGAAAAAGACAGATAAATACATAAAAGAGAGCAGTCGGAGGTGGGGTGGGGTGGGGTGGGGCTGCCATCTCAGACAGCGGTTGGAACAGGCCTTTCTGGTTGCATTGAGAATTCCTTCAGCCTTGGCATCCTGGGTCCGTAGGAGGCTCACTCACAAAGTTGGCACAGCCTGGCAGCACGGGCGGTGCAGGAGACGGGGTCCTGAATGAGGAGCTGGAAGGCAGTAGGTGGCAGGCACGAGGCTGTGGGACTGTAAAGGACTATGATCCAGCCATAGATCTGGAAAGGCTTTTTGGAGGAGTGACACTTAAGCTGAGCCCTGAAAGACAAGTGGGCCAGCCAGGTGAAAGGGGAGGAGGGGAGCCTGTGGAAAATGCTCATAGAACAGAGAGGACACAGCATGGTTGAGTGGAAAATATGTGAATAATAAATATTGTTGTACTTCTTAACGTATTGTTACATAATGGCAGAAAAAGGAGCTCAGAAGGTGATAATTAACAGTGAGTAAAAATTTCCTGTTGGGCCGGCCCCGTGGCTCACTCAGGAGAGTACGGCGCTGGGAGCACCGAGGCCGCGGGTTCGGATCCTATATAGGGATGGCCGGTGCGCTCACTGGCTGAGTGTGGTGCGGGCGACACCAAGCCAAGGGTTATGATCCCCTTACTGGTCACAAAAAAAAAAATTTCCTGTTGATCATCCAAAATTTGTATAATCCTTGTAAACTGTAGCAACTAAATGTAATCTAGCACTTCAAAACCACAGTGTTTTTGTAATTACTTTATTATTTGTGGATCAATTTCATTTTCCTAAAGCATACTTTATACTGAAGCCTTTTCCATTTGGAATGTCAAGTTAATAGAAATAGACTGGGTTAACCATTTTGTGATTTCAGGGCCTGTCACACCACAAGACCACCTTACTTTGGAGAAGGGGATCGAGTTGATTATCATTTTATCTCTCAAGAAGTTTTTGATGAAATGCTAAACATGGTAGGAATGTTCTCCTTTATTTTTATTGAATAAGAAATACATGTTCTCTGGCATAAATATTATAAAATAGTGGTAGATAAAAAAGGGAAAAATTAAATTTTGTGCTTGTTACAAGAGGTGAACTCCTATTGGGTTTTTTCTTAAATTGCTTAATGTGTCATTCTCCAAATGCCTCTTTATTTTATGATCCTGGAGAAAATACTGTAAATTTCCAATAAAAATGAATGAGTTGATGTTTTAAGGAACTAGAACTAAAAGCGCTACCGGAAATTCTTGTGATCTGTGCTTTTCAGGTGCTGCTACTGTTATTAATCAGATTTTACTCCAGATAAAAAGTTCTCACAGAACTGCTTTGATGCACGAGGCTTGCAAACTGAGCATTCCTGGGGGTTGGGTGTTCTGTCCAGAGAGTACTCCTGTGTCACCAAGGGTGCTTTCTGATTGTCACAACCCTAAGCACCCTTTCAGCATGGCATGTCCCATTCAGTTGGCTTGTTCTGGACACATCACCTTCCACAGTGACATTCCCCTTTGAGAAGCCCTGAGTCTTGGAGGTCAGGCAGTTCACTAATGCAGAGGGAAGCCCTTGTTATGGGACAGTAGAAGAGTCCTAATTTCTTTGAGGACTGTGTCTTTACCAGGTGAGGGTGACTACCCTTCATTAGTCCATTTCATAGAAACTCGGGGCAATCTTGTATAATTTAAATTGTTTTTGTTTTACTGAAACCCTGATAATCTAGTCATTGACAGTAATTCACAATACCTTTGTCTTTGAATTTCTTTTCTTTTTTTGTGACCGGTAAGGGGATCGCAACCCTTGGCTTGGTGTCGCCCGCACTGCGCTCAGCCAGTGAGCGCACCGACCATCCCAATATAGGATCCGAACCCGCGGCGGGAGTGCCACTGCGCTCCCAAGCGCCGCACTCTCCTGAGTGAGCCATGGGGCCGGCCCTGAATTTCTTTTCTTAAAAGCAATTTATTTGTTTCTTCTCTGTCTTCACATGCAAAGGAAATTCTCACAACCCTAGTGTCTCACATGCAAAGGAAATTCTCACAACCCTAGTGTGTTTTATCTGTTGAAAGTACATGTTAATGTTAATACATATCCACCCATGATTTCAGTTAAACTGAAGGAGACCCTTGTGTCTTCATCACAAGCAAGGAATCTGTAAACCTTTTATTTTTTCTTTACCATAGCCCCTATTTTTGTTTATATAACCATTTTTTCTATCACCAAAGGAATCCTATACCCCCCACCCTTTTTTTTTTCCTAGAGCCGACCACAGGACCAGATGAGGGTCTGATGAATGTTTCTACGTTTGAAAGACCACCATCCGACCAGTGATTGATGCTGTTGCAGCTACCTCTCCTCCCACCCGTCTCCCCTTCTGTTTTCCCCCTCGTTCCTCTGCTCCCACCCCGAAATAATGGACCTGGCTTATACCTCAGTGTACATAAACATGGAACATTGAAGCATAGGCTCTGTCGTTTCTACAAGTATAATTTTGAATGACCAGCTCTCTCCATGGTTTGTTTTCAGGACTTCTCTTGCATTTACAGAGAAACACAAGTGAAAAAGTCCTGTAATCCTAGGCAGTTTTTCCTCTAACCTTACCAAAAGAACATCTTGGAAATTCTTTATAATTTTCTCTCCTAGGGCTGTATTTTAAACTTAATAAATTCAGTTTCATTTATTACGAGTATTCTGGGACTTCGTATTTCTAAAAGCCTTAACAGGGATTTGAGGAATTATCTTGATTATTAGTAAGAAACATTCTCTTAGGACTCTTTAGGTTGAAAGACATCTAGTTCCCAAAATTAATGTTAATTTTTCTTGTTAGAATATAAGGCATTTTTTCTTAGTTCAGTTCATCTGTTCTCAGTACCCCACACACACCTGTGATGGTCCATACCTTATCAGATCTGTAATCAGGTTAGTCTGGCTAACTCCTAGTCTAAGAAATCACTACTTCTATACTATATGTAGTCTTACAGTTTTACTCCCTCTATGAAAATCCTCATGTGTTTGAGAAGTACTCATTTTTAATGCTTCTGCTGACATGTATTATTTCAATATAATGTAATTTTCTTCAACTTGAATTTTGCCTCTGATCTTTCCTTTAATGTGAGCTTCAGACTGTTTCATGAAGACAGCTTCACCAATCATGCCCACACACTCAGCCTTCTGTACACAGAACCCAGCCACACAACACCCGCCCAGACAGCCTTCCCCCAGCCCTCCATTGCAGCAGCTCCCATGATGGGCAACCCTGGCATACCCTACCCCTGCACACCTACTGTGTACCATCACACCTGCCTGCTCTGACGGGTACAACACATAGACCTGCACCAGCATCCCCATACACACACAGCACCTCCCTCCAACACACAGATCATCCTCCCACGAGTCCACAGACACATGGACACTTTTTATGGATACATACTTGTACCCAGTCACTTATCCACAGAAACTCTCCCCATTTTGTGGAAATAAGACTACAGACCTGGAGGTTTTGAAGTATGACTATTGGGAAATCTGCATGCAGCAAGAAATGAAAAGAGAATCACCAGCTAGACATGGGGGCAAAGAAGACTGAGGGCACTTCATCTCAATTCTTAACGAATCAGTTTAATGGGTCTCTTTTACATATATGTATAACACAAGATTCCTCCCATCCCCACATCCTTCCAGAAAATGTTTCTGGGATCCACAGAGGAAAGTCCCTGTCCACACAAGGAAACAAACTTATAATATCTGAAACTTATAGTATCTTATTAGTATCTGAAAACTAATTCAAGTATACATTTTGAAAACTGGGTGAGTCACAGAGTATTAGTCAGGGTTCTCCAGAAAAACAGAACCAATAGGGTGTGCATATATAAAGAGACAGACTTAGTATAAGGAATTGGCTCCCATGATTATGGATGCCGGCAAGTCCACATCTGCAGTGTGGTCTGGGCAGCCTGGAGACCCTGGAGAGCTCACAGTGCAGGTGAAGTTCAAAGGCTGACTGTTTTGTTCTATTCAGCCCTTCAACTAATTGAATGAAGCCCACCCACATTGTGGAGGGGAACCTGCCTACTCAGAGTTCCTCCCAGTTGATACATAAAATGAACCATCACACACAGTAAACAAGATAAAGTATATGCCTGAAAGGAGAGCCAGATATCTATCTATCTATATAGATATAAAATATTAAAAGCAAAAGAATCACAGTATTTGTTCCAAAGAACAGAGAGTATGACATTGAAGGAGTAAAATATTAAGGATATTTATTGTTGAGTCTTTAACTTTTAGAATACATGACGTAAACGTCTTTTGATTATGGGGGGTGTGAATTTTCCTCATCATCCAGTGCAGACACATCCCCCAGAGACCCGCCCAACCCCACGAGATACCCCATGTCTCCTGGTCTTCCACCACCTCTCCCCTGACAGCCCATCCCCCGACCCCTCACGTCTCCAGGACATCTGGGGCCAGGAGGCGCAGGTAGCAATTGACATTTACTGCAGCCCTTCCTAGTGCTGCTGCTGCCAATTGATGGGATTTGACACAGCCCTGGACATTTCGCTTCATTATTTATTTCAAAATCATGTATATGAGGAGCCACATTTGCCAGCGTCATCAATATTTTTATTCCTTCTCTTGTCATCGGCCTCCAGTATGGATTAGACCTAGTGGTTTAATAAATATAATATTGTCAAAGAAAAAGTTGCAGACGATTTTGAGAGACATGTTTTTACTTGCACTTTTGGCAAGAGAGTATAGTTTTCAGAAGAACTGAGCTTCCAGAATACAGACAGAAGGTGGTATTTATAGTTCAAATGACTATGGGCAGGCAACAATTCTGTTGAATAACATTTGGGGCAGTTTCAATAAAAAGCTATCGTTATGAGGAAAAGCAGGAGGAGTCTGTTTTTCAAAGCCTTTAGGAGGTCCCTGTAATCCACGGCCTTCAAGAATTATCTGTAATTCATGGCTTATCTGGGAATGCAAGGCTTTGGGAATGGAAGCCTTTTCTGGGCTACCTGGTGTGCTGGCACAGCTAAAGTGGTGGGGGCAAAGGACCACTATTAGTTTTTCTGTCTCAGTAAGCAAGGTCCGTGGTGCAGGTTTGGTAGGATGAGGAAAAGTAAGAAAAATGGTCTGTTCTATAGGCAGCTTCAGTGCCTTAGCCCTCCTCTGACATTTTCTCAGCAGGTTATTTCCAAAAACCTGATTTGTCTGTCAGCTGGGAATTCTGAATAAAGTTCTGAATCACAGTTGGATATTAAGTTTCATAATCCCATTGTCATTCTTGTGTAGTTGCTAATATTTGTAAGTTTTATGGAGTTATACAAAAATGAGACATCAAATGATTTTACTTATATTAAATTTCATTATGGCTGCTGTTGTATGAAAATCTTTGTCCTTCTCAAATTCCAGGGGAAATTTATTCTAACATTTGATTACGGGAATCACAAGTATGGATTAAATAGGGACACCATAGAAGGTATCGCCAGAGATGGTTTAGCAAGCTGTATTCATATGGAAATAGAAGTAAGTGCTTTTCATTCAATCAATATATATTGTGTGTGTGTGTGGGGGGGTGTATTTGAAGTTGAGGAGGGGGCTAGGCCCAACAAAAATGCATATGAAAGTGTGAGGTATTAAGTTTATAATTAGTATGGGGAATGAAATTTGTAAAAAATTAAGTGACATACAAGAAATCACACATATCCTATGAGTTACTAAATTATTTATACTAAGTTATTTTCTCACTACATTGTCCTTTTTCTTTTGAAAGCATGGTCTCCGTTAGTATAGAGTGATGTTAGGTAAAGCCTGGTTCTTGCAGAGCGTGGGCCTGCTTCCCTGTCCCCTCAGGACAAGGGCAGCCCCGACCCCGTGGCCTTGGTCTTGTTCCGTCATTCATTATGGGACAGGTGTGGGCTGTGCTGTCATTTGACTTCACTTGCTCACTGGGTACAATGTCTTCATTCTTCTGGCGATTTAGACTTGCAGATTTCATGAGATTTTTCTCTTTGCCGCAGAATCCCATCTTCCCCCAAAAATCTTCTGTAATTAGAATGGTTTAGCAAGCTGTATTCATATGGAAATAGAAGTAAGTGCTTTTCATTCAATCAATATATTGTGTGTGTGTGGGGGGGGGAGTGTATTTGAAGTTGAGGAGGGGGCTAGGCCCAACAAAAATGCATATGAAAGTGTGAGGTATTAAGTTTATAATTAGTATGGGGAATGAAAGTTGTAAAAAAATTAAGTGACAATGCAAGAAATCACACATATCCTATGAGTTACTAAATTATTTATACTAAGTTATTTTCTCACTACATTGTCCTTTTTCTTTTGAAAGCATGGTCTCTGTTACTATAGAGTGATGTTAGGTAAAGCCTGCTTCCCTGCTTCCCTGTCCCCTCAAGACAAGGGCAGCCCCGTGGCCTTGGTCTTGTTCCGTCATTCATTATGGGACAGGTGTGGGCTGTGCTGTCATTTGACTTCACTTGCTCACTGGGTACAATGTCTTCATTCTTCTGGCGATTTAGACTTGCAGACTTCATGAGATTTTTCTCTTTGCCGCAGAATCCCATCTTCCCCCAACAATCTTCTGTAATTAGAGTATACAGGAGTTTCTCCAAAGTTAAGATCCAGGGTAAAACCATGAATTTCCCACTCATTTG